AAATCATCACCACTTTTGATGGACATATTGATTGATTTTGTTCCACCGTAATCCTTGGCCAAGGAGGTGAACACATTTTTAAAGCACTGCAAGATCCTGTCTACCCTGTTTACAAAGACTACACAGGTATGAGCCAGGGATGCTTTGTTTGGCACAGCATTTCTGCCTTAATGTGTCCTCTTGGCAGGTAGTGTGCCATGGCTTGCACAAGAACTTTTCCTATTGCTGAATGGACCAAGGTCACACTCCCCACCTTCCCTCACCCACAGTAAAGTCTAAATGTATAGCCACACACCACAGGGTCTTACCCACTTCCTTGGGTGAGTGTACGCAGGGTGACCAAGACTCATGTAAGTTTCCCTCTCAGCAGTCTTGTACTCCAGTGTTTCAGAAGAAGGAAGGTATCTTAAAACTATTACAAATCTTACAGTTCCATATAGTTTACACAGGAGAGAATGCATGAATGCCTTCTAATTAGATCTTTTTGCAGACGTTTTGCTTCATAAATCTGCAAACCTGTAAAGCAGCCGAAACAGTCTTTTAATCTACTCCAGCTACATATTTGTATCATTAGAAGTCCTTTCTAGCACAAACTGTTGTACTTAATATTTTCTATGCTTATGAAAAACTGTGAATGCAATGTACTGTACCAACGCAGAAAATAGCAAATACTTGCTGTCCTTAGCCAACAGAAAATCCTTAACAGCTGTTTATTGCTCATTTGCAAAACATAAGAGCAAAGGAATTCCATTACTTGGAGAAACTGGCTGTTCCTTGCTATCTTTGGCAACAAAATCAGCACTTATCTTTTTTGAACAATAGGCTTCCCTAACTTTCCCACTTTTACAATAATTATAACAAATGGACAAATTCTAATACAGCTGGCAGTGGAATGTGATGTCACATTAACTGCTTTCCATTTCATAAATCAAACTATTTCCTTAACAATTAAAAAAGTACAGAAACTGTCTTCGGCAATGACCTTTACAGCTAGGTTTGCCAAGCCCCTGCTAGGGGCGGGGGAACCCCTGATTTTCGACCCCCTTACCCACTTTTTTGAAATCCAGCATCGGGGGGGGGGGATGGCGACCAGAAGTGACACTCTAGCATTTTAGTCCTCCAAGTCTCTATGGCTATGAAAGCCATAGAGACGAGGGCTAGAGCGTCAGTTCCACTTCCCTCTAGTGTGCGCTGGTGAGTCCCGCCCCTGTTGTTTGCAGCAGGAGCAGCCTGAGCAGAGAAGAGCTCAGAGCCCAGAAGAGTTGAGGGTCCTGGAAGGTAAGGTTTGGGCTGGCCAGGGCTCTGTCTCATGGTCGTCTTTGTTTTTCCTTCCATCCCCCCCCCAAGGTCCATCTGCCAGCTGCTTGTTTTAAAAGTGCAGGCAGTCATTTCAGAGCTCCGTTTTGCCCCTCCCCCCACCTAAAACCAGGAAAGAGCGAAAGGGAGGCTTCAGGGTAAGTTGGTGGGGGTGTAAGGAGCAGGGGCTTATTTCAAGTGAGGTGGGGTGAAAGGGAGCCAGGGCTGCAGCCACCCAGGAGAAAGCGAGCCCCAGGAACTCTTGTGCTGCACGGAGCACATTGCTCCAGGATACAGAAAATCAGTGGACTGCTTTCTCCTGTAGTGGGGGGGGGGCTGCACTCCCTGTCCCTCTCTCTCTTTCTGTTTCTCCCTTTCTGTTGAGGTTTGTGAGAGCTGGAAACAAGGAGAGGCTGGGGAGCTGCTCCACCCCACTCCAGGCTGCTTCTCTTGCAGCCTGACTTTCTTTCCTTCCCTCTTTTCTGTCTTTCACTTCTCTCTCCTTTTAGGGTTTTTTCCAGCTTTCCCCCCTTCCTTCTCTCCCCCCTCCCCTCCCTCCCTTGCTAAAATTGCCCTAGTTAGAGTTGCCAGGTTCCCCCTGGCCACCTCTGG